AATGGTGGCACCAAGCTCAATGTCCTCAGCTCGAGTTGAATCAATATTGAATTCATTGACCAAAATAAAATAAATAATATTTAAAATAAGTAAGAATACCCCACGAGCATGGAAGTATAAAATTAAGCCACCAGATTTTAGTATCACATTTCTGCTTGGAGATGACTGCTAGTGGAAAACGCGTCTGCAGGTATAATTTACTCCCGTATGAAAGGGCTGCCATTATTTCAGATCTAGATTTTCATCATTGTTATGTCGAGTACAGTTTGATAACTAAAATATATAAAATTTTACTCATCAAATTATTATCTTTTGCATCTTTTTGATATTCCATTGCGAACTTCTGATTTCGGTGTCACATTACCTATTCGCCACTAAAACACTTCCCAGATATTTAAACATGCTTAATTTAGGGGATTCACCAATTTGTAGTTCGCGATTTGGGTGTTTTCTCTTGCTGATGACTGTACATTCTGTCTACTTACAAAAGATAGTTAGTCTTAAATCCTGGACGATTCTCTACGGAAACTAATTGAATAATTAATAAAAACGTTCGCCATTTCACTGTGGGAAGCTGGAATAGAAACTAAGGTGTAGGAAAATGAAATAAAATCTTTAAATTAAATATCTATGATGCCTAAAAAAATGAATTTTTCCTATGATGCTAAGATTAAAAGAAGTGGAAATATGATTACTCCATTTTCCGTTGTCAACCGTCGTTAGGTGGCGCTGGATAAGTCTATAAACAGACAAACCTTTTCTAGCCTCGCTCATTTTCTCCTTTTTTTGCTCCAAGATGTAGAACCACGTGGTAATCCCCTAGGAAATGTTATTTTCCTCAGTCTATTAAGAACTAAACTCTCTTTTCAATTTCGAACGTACGGTGTTCTCCCGTCTCTTCCAAAAACCTCCACCTATGAAGGCCTTGCATAGGGTGAAAACTACTTGTTATGGGACCTTACTCATAATAAAATAATGGACTATACCATACGTAATAAATACCGCGCCTCAAGAGAAAGCAGGGAGTTCCGTCTGAAGTCGGGCGACCGGCTGATCGGTTGAACTCTCTGCCTTCGGGCGGGGAGGAACCCGAACGAGGCTACGCCGAAGGGCGGAGTCTCTTTCGGGGAGGTAAACCGACCCTGAACCCGTTTATACGGGTTCAAAGGGCATATTTTGGCCGAGCCCATGGGCTCGGAGATCCCACGTTAAACCGGCCTTGTGCCACATGATGCCCTCGTGGGGGGGGGGGACTAAATACCGTTCCGTCTGAAGTCGGGCGACCGGCTGACCGGCTGATCGGTTGAACTCTCTGCCTTCGGGCGGGGGAGGAACCCGAACAAGGCTACGCCGAAGGGCGGAGTCTCTGTCGGGGAGGTAAACCGACCCTGAACCCGTTTATACGGGTTCAAAGGGCATATTTTTATAGATGAGCCCACGGGCTCCGAGAACCCACGGGCTCGGAGATCCTACGGGCTCGGAGATCCCACGTTAAACCGGCCTTGTGCCACATGATGCCCTCGTGAGGGGGGACTAAATACTGTTCCGTCTGAAGTTAGAGTTCCGTCTGAAGTCTAGAGTTCTGTCTGAAGTCTAGTGTTCAGTCTGAAGTCTGAAGTGAAGTCCGTCAGGAGTCTGTCAGTCAGTCAGAGCGAGTCAGTCAGTTGAGTCAGAGGCAGCCCGAAACAGCGTCGCGTTCAGACAATTACTACTAAACCTGATTGTTCGTACTAACACTTTCTACTTCTCTGTATATATTCCTGTTTGTAATATATCTGTGTTATTCCATATCCGTGTTCGAGTTCTTCTTTATTGATTCTACCTCGGACTATCACCGTGGTACAAGGAACCGGACCATAACACTACTGTAAAAAATATCAGCCTGCATCATTTTTTTTTTATTTGTAAGTTGTGGCGTTCTCGAGTCTGATGCATTTGTAGGCGTTACTTTAACTTACCTTCATTTGTCTCATTTTTTTTTCTTCGTTTTCGTCATGACATGGAGGTGATCGCTCTCACAATCGACGACCGTGATAATATAGATTAGGATTATCTAAAATAAAACCATTTCATGCAGAAACGAAGTATCTTAAAACCTGACATATTCACGTCTTCTTACGTATGCGCAATGTTATATAACGCACATCTCTTCAAAAAATATAAGTGAATAAAAAGCAAATCGCATAAATATAAACGAGCTATTAGTTTCGTTGCAAGCACACCTGCTGCAACCTTTTAATTAAAGTAATTGATCAATTCAGGCCAACCGTATATAATAATATAAGATTTTTCAATATCGTACGATCGATCCATCATTGATCTTCTCAACTTTCTAAATAATTTTCTCTGCTACTCAACACACCAGCATCGTTTCTTCCCTTTAACCCAGATTGCCCCCAGCCCAGAGCCATGGATGCCAACCTGCGCGCCATTTTACTCTTTTGCAGAGAGAGCAGGTTCGAAATCTTTGTCAACATAATTATAGATTGAAATTTATTAAAATAATCGAGGTTGTATCTGAGGTCTGGGGATTGGGAAGTAATCGTTGGGCGGGGGGGGGGGATACGGTTTCAGTCGGATGCCTTTCAGATCTGTGCTCTATGCAGGACTAATGGCCACCCAGTTAGTTTATTATTGAATTTAAGAACAAAATAAAACACAGGAACGTTGTATCTTTGCAGTTATGCATTACTGCATTGTTTTTCTCTCTTGTTAATTTTTTTTTTGTTAAGCATTACGCCCCGAGCAAGGAGTGAAGCCATTAGGATGCAAGGGGTTGCAGAAGATTTGGAGCAAGATCAGATAGGAGTGATAGAAGAAATGATGAGGAGAGGGATAGTGGATAGATCAAGGTAACTGGAGGAGTCGATTGATATAACATTTGAATAGCTGGAGATTATAGCTCTCAGGGAAACAGTAAACAGTTCCACAGACGAGAGGTGCGAAGTATGAAGCTATTGGAGTAGAAGAGACGGCTACATTTAAAAGTTTCTACAGTGAAAAGCTGAGAGCGGGATGCCAGCCTCGTAGGGCGCCTGAATTCATGAAGTCTGGGAACCAGTGAAAGCAGCTCATCGGAACAATTACCATGAAAGTACTTGTAAAAAAGACAGAGAGAGGCGACGGCGCATCTGTGAGGGAGCAACTGTAGACGAGATGCCAGATCAGGGCCAATTATATTACATATCCGCCTCTGGATCTTGTCAAGAACTCCGATGTAAACAGAAGGTGCCCCAGACCATATATGGCAGCAATACTCCATGCAAGGGCGAATGGTTGATTTGTATATTTGAAGTATCGATTCCGGGGAGAAAAATTTCCTGGCGCGGCACAGAGAGCCAACTTTCCTCGCGGTGGACGAAGCAATTGACTCAATGTATTTGTTCCATCTCAGGTCAGCAGTCAACGTGAGACCGAGCAGACGCAGAGAGTTGCTCTCAAGAATAACACGTGCCGTTGGAAACGTTTTTCAACAAAGTCTCATGCATCTCTACAACCTTTTAGAATGTTATTTATCCATTTATAGCTTCTTCTGCACAAAAATATCCAGTTACGACATATCCATATACTTCTTTGTAGATTCGACATATGTTTATTGACTTCTGTGTACAAAGCTTTATTTACCTTGTTCTCAAGCACGTGCGAGCGTCTGCATGCATGTGTACAATTCCTACTTTCTTTTTTTTTTCTAGTTAGGTTCACCCTGTACAAGGCCTGAGAGACACTCGAGGTAGACGGTTACAGTTTAAAAGGCACAGCTTATGTGGATATGTGTGGAAGATAACGGTTAACTCTAGACTTGAACAGGTTAAAAGTGTAGCGATTAGAGAGGCAACTTCTTTTGAGTCGGATCCACGAGACACTGAAGCTTAGCTCAGCTTCGAAAAATAATGGAAAAGTCTGAAAAGTCTGACTTAGCATTCCACTATTTTTCGAAGCTTCGAGATCATCCACTAAAGAGGATCTCTGGTTTTGTTTTTTACTAATAGTAATACTAACCATAAGTGCATATATAGCAATTAAAATAAAACTTTTAGTTCCTATTTTCTAAAAAACCGAGAAAAATGATCGCTTAAAAAATAAGAATGTTTAAAAAATTTCAACACATGAAAAAATTTTCGACAAAATTGTAATTCTGTTTTTTAAAGATTTTTAAGACAATCCCGTTTGTGTTGTGTTGGAAACTTTGCAAATTTTTTTTTTCTCAGCTAAGATGCATCGGTCATTAATCTTGCCACTTAAACATTTTTCGAGTGAAATTTAGTAATGAAAATATATTAGTGGTTATTACAACAAACATTTTCTCAGATTGTTTTCAGTAAAAAAACATTCATTATAAACGTAAATAATGAATATGTACTGAAATTTTCATTTAAATTGGATAATTCCCTGATTTTTGGTAATTTTAAAAAAATGTCCTCTGCCTCCAACTAATTTTTCTTCGAGGTTTTGTGCTCCCTTTTAAATCGGCATCAATTAGAGAGAAGACCCTTTATCAAAGTTTCAGGGGCGGGGTCCCGAACCCTAGAGGCGCCCCTGTCTGAGAGATCTGAAAATGGTGGTTTCGCATATTTCCCGATGCAGTAGAAAGTTAGAATCCATTTGAAATTAAATTTTAACGGCGTGTATTGTAGTGATGGGATTCCACTTTCGCGTAACTGTTAATTGCGCAGAAATTGGAATCGGTGGGCCGAGTTCAAATTCTGGGTTACTCTGTTATGTTCAAATTCTCACCAGAACTCCTGAGAAAGTCATGACTCAGTCTCTTCTTCCACTCTCCAGTTTTAATTTTATCATCAAGGGAGACTATGCTGTCTAGTTATATACCCGATGAATATGCAGATAGATAGATAGATAGATAGATAGAAAAGGAAAAGGATGAGATAGATAGATAGATAGATAGATAGATAGATAGATAGATAGATATGATATGATAAAACACAAGTTGATTTCTGAATATATAAAATATATAGAAACCACTGACACAAAAAATGTAAAACTTAGATAGATATATATATAGATAGATAGATATTCAAAGATCGAAAGAGATAGATAGATAGATAGATAGATAGATAGATAGATAGATAGATAGATAAGGAAAAGGATGAGATAGATAGATACAAAAAGGAAAAGGATGAGATAGATAGATAGATAGATAGATAGATAGATATGATAAAACACAAGTTGATTTCTGAATATATAGAATATATAGAAAGCACTGACACAAAAAATGTAAAACTTAGATAGTTATATAGATAGATATGCAAAGATCGAAAGTGATAGATAGATAGATAGATAGATAGATAGATAGATAGATAGATAGATAGATATGACAAAACACAAGTTGATTTCTGAATATATAGAATATATAGAAAACACTGACACAAAAAATGTAAAACTTCAGATAGATAGATAGATAGATATACAAAGATCGAAAGAGATAGGTAGATAAATATACACAGATCGAAAGAGATAGATAGATATGATATGATATGATAAAACACAAGTTGATTTCTGAATATATAGAATATGTAGAAAACACTGACACAAAAAATGTAAAACTTAACATAGATAGATTGATAGATATACAAAGATCGAAAGAGATAGATAGATAGATAGATAGATAGATAGATAGATAGATAGATAGATAGATGTGAACAGACTGTAATGGCTTAAAAATACATTGATACAAAAATAGTAATGTAAACAATCGATATAAAGAAAGTGATAGATAGACAGATCGGTTTGGATAGTTATAAACTAATATTATTGATATACGGAGTGGGGTGATGTGATATGATCCGAGGTAGATATCCAGGCACTCTGAAGTACTGACATAGATGAAAAGAGCGAGATTTATAACTCATAAGACAGATACGGTGAGAGAATGATATAGTGCTTAGTTTCAAAAGATATCTGTCGAAAAAGGAGAATTTGAACCAACATACTGATTGGCATACTAATGTTTCAGTTGATTGATCGTACGATTGCTTCGCTCAGGGCGTTCCATAAATGTGAACTTGCGCCAATGTCGATTCAATACTACAAATGATTATTCAGTCGGGCAAGGCGTCAATCAAAGTGAATCACGAAACAGAAGCATTTATTCAAGCAGTGTGTCTTTTATAAAGCGTTATTCTTCTTCGTCAAAGTTCGTTAGATGTCTGGTATTTAAATTTCGAAAAGATTTGTGTAATTCTGTCCGTGTTTTTATTTCATAGCTCAGCTTTCTCAGCTATGAACATGTGTGTAAGTGACGATTCGGCCTAGAGCATCTATTTTTCGGTTATTTAATTGGCATTTATTTTTTTTTACCATTGTTATCTATTGATTTGTTGCATACTAGCGTAAATAAAAAAAGACAGACTCAGTTATAACAAAGATTGTTACAAAATACGACGGTCAGGGCTAGAATGGTCAGCGATTGACCGAAGTACCTCGTGAGCGGGGTAATCTGACAGTGAAGTATTGCCTTTGTTTGGGTTTTGAATATAAGTCCAAAACAGCGTAAATTCAACAGAGGATGGCCAGAATTCTGAAGACTAAGACCCCTACCTCACAGAGAGACGCTGAGCCGATATGCATTTCTATGAAGTCATTCCTCCCACTGCCTCTTAGAATCTAAGCTGCTTCCCTTCCTGCCTAATAAAACGAATAACAAAAAGAAATGGTCCTTTTCGTTGATTCTGCTTTATGTAGTAGCGTGTAGGTCCAGAGGCGACACAGAACGCAACAAGACACAAACACTCAAAACATGAAGTAATGACGCCATATTTGAGTGTGAGACTGTAGAGACCGCAATTTCCATGCTCGATAAAATTCAAAAGCCTCTCTGAGTCATTTGGGTGACGAATTATTTTCCACCCTCCAACCTCTCTCTCACAGGCGGGTGTGGCAAGACTCTCGCTAATCTATCGCTATTTTCACGGGAAGTGATCGGACGAATTACATTGCTTGGTTCCGCTAGGCCTAACCTTCACGGCAAGGACCCACCACGCCACTTACATTGCAGCAAACAACTCACATTCCCTGCGTATTCCATCGGTGAAAAGTAAATTCCACTTAAACAGATTCTTTACGCGAACCACGGCTCTGTGGAACCAACTCCCAAGAGGATGTTTCCCCTATCGCTTCAATCTTAACCTGTTGAAGTCTAGGGTTAACGGTTACCCTCCCCTAGTATCCGTACAAACTGCCTCCTTACGTAACCGTTTACATCGAGTGCCGCCCCCTGTCCTTGTACAGGTTGAACCTTACTGAAAAATAAGATACAGGAACTTGTTTGTACGCTATGTTACAAATATGAAAAATAACAATTAATCAATCCTGAATTATCACAGATAGGTTTCTGATGGATACATAATTACAACAAATATTAAAAGGCACTCACTGCAAATAATTTTACTCTAGTAAAATCGTAAATTATTGTATAATAAAATTACATTATAAACATTATTTTACTATAGAATTGGATTATAAATGATTTTATAGTAGAATTGCATTGTAAATTATTTCTGTTATAACAATGTATTGTAAGTTATTTGAAAATTGTTTATAAAATATTCTAGCATAGGTTTACATTATAAATTATTTTTTTCTCTAGGATTCTATTATAATGTCTTTACTACAGATTTGCATTGTAAATGTTTTCGCTATAGAAGTGCATTATATCTGTCTATATCTCTGAGATGAGATATTATGATTATTCACACTGTTATCCTCATCGTCATTGCCATATTCACAACGTTTCGACCGTTGTACGCTCCGACCTTCTTCTAGTGATTGGAATTTCGCACCAGACCCTTTATTTCGTCCAACAGGGTAGATTGTTCTAGTTCCACATGCAATGCCCCTTTCGGATGTCTCGGTTATTTTCCTTTAACTCAACTCTCCAATTTTTTTCTTTTTTTTTTTTTTTTTTCACCACTACTGTAGCCAGGTATTGAACTCACAGCATTTTTGGTCTAATAACTTGATTTAACCAACTTCTTTATCCACTGGGCCATGAATCCTTGATGATTCAAAATGCCTTATAAATTAAGTTTACTATAGAATTTCATTGCCGGTTCTTGTAATATAGAAGTGATTTGCTTTTGACGGTTTATCAAACTTTTGCGGGTCATTTAAAACCAAAGAATATTTTTAATCTTTGAGAATTTTTTTTGAGATAATAATGATTTAGTGAGACAATGTTTAACGATTATCTGGGGGAGAAGAGGTGAATTCCTAGCTTTTCCAAAGGTATTGGCGCGTAAGGGAATATAACAAACCTGACTGGAATTGGAACTCCGCTCTCCGATTTCCAACTACACCATCCTCACGTCAAAGCATACAGCACCTGATATTCTCAAGTGGTCACACCTTCAGGCATTGACCAGGTTCTATGTAAAATATGATATTCCCCCCTCTCTCACTCTTCCCCCACACACATACGCACACATCTGTACACAGACATATACAATATGGTCAGTTTTTTAAATATTGCGATGCAAATCTTATATATTTGTCAGTATTTTGCGAACTATATCACTTCACAGTGACTACAACAATGCATGTCATCCTAGAAAAATGTAGAACAATAAAAGAAAAAAAATGGCAGCATTGACACCCAAAATCAAATATATTGTAACCCAGCCTCATTGGGGAGGGAAAATCTATATGTATTGAATAACTAGAGACGTGCTGCTAATGTCGATAGATTACGTGCCAACTGTCCTGTGTGGATCTTAGAGTAAGCCTCACATGAAACAGCCGCTACTTAAATATGTAGACACATAAAACTAATTTAAACATTAAAATTTCCTATTTTCTATGTATAAAAAGAATTAAAAATGGAGTAAAAAATATGTTTCGTGACACACTATAGGGATGACAAGGACACGAAATATTTGATTCAGTCATTTCGAAAATGTTAGCAATTTACCTTATGGCCAATTAGAATTAATTCGCAACTTACTTCAAATTGATGGCTATAACCAATTGACCATGTTAATGCCGGAACTCGTTCCATATCTTCGCTTCGTTTGCACCCAAATCGTCGATCACAGCGTCGGGCTACTTCAGGATTATATCGAATATCAATTAACATGCCTTAAAATTTCAATTAATTCCTGTTTTTATTATTATTCAACTACTGAAATACTTATTCTTCATCGCCTTCTGACGAAATCAAAGTTTATTCAAGTTGGAACGGTATAGAAATTATACGAGCGTCAAGTGTTGAAATGGGGTTGAAAATTAGCGCAGTAAAATTTGAAAGTGTTAACAGCACCATTACAAAAGAATGTTACGTTTGTAATTGTACATATTTCCAAATGTCTGATACATTTAAATTGCAGAAACGTGATTCAATCTACGAACATCATTAACGCTCGCAGGAGCTTTGCCATTATCAATGCAGCAAGTTCCACATGCCTGTGGATCTCTATCATGCAACATGAAATAATACTTATTTGGTCAGCAAGTCTAAGAATTTCAAACTATTGAAAAATTCATAGAAGAATTTCACCAATCAAGGTTTGTTTCTTAATATCATTATTTTTGTATATATATATATATATATATATATATATATATATATATGAAAATTTCTCCGATTTAATCGGTAGAGAAATTATTTATGTCGACCATGTCGACATGGAAAACAAAAACTTATTCATAAATATTGTCTTCTCTACCAATTAAATCGGAGAAATTTTCATATTTGTCGACATAGAAAACAAAAACTTATTCATAAATATTGTCTTCTCTACCAATTAAATCGGAGAAATTTTCATATTTGTCGACATGGAAAACAAAAACTTATTCATATATATATATATATATATATATATATATATATATATATATATTTATTTATTTAAAATATGATTCCAGCTCGCGACATAAGAGGTTTCATGTTTCAAAACAAGAGCCGAATACGTCAATATAATTATTTGAATTAAATTGAGTTAAAGTAAGCTCTGTTTCATCTTCAAGCGAATTTTTTTTTTTTGGAATAACGTATTTCTGAAATTTACATGTTTTAATAATTGAAATCAAAATTTCCATGGTAACAGATATTTTTATATGCACAAATCCCTTTCATAAAAAAATAAAATTAAAAAATAAATAAATCTCCATAGACACGCCAACCAGACTAGGGTTAATACATCTTTCGTTTCAAATTTAGACACCCCCACCTTTCCCTGACTTGACATCTATGAAAGTAACTCTATACTGATACTTATTATTAACACCTAACACACGCCTACCCAATTTAAACCATTCGCCCTTGCTGTTACCATGGAAATATTCTGTTTTTCTTTAAATTATATATATATATATATATATACTCGACTCTTCCGTCGAGTTCGACGTATGAGGGTTAAGCCGATCAGCTCCCAGGAAACCGACAACGGCACAGGAGATTTGATTATAGTGGTGAAGGTTTCGTGCAGGACCATCCACACTTTTTGAAGGCCGAATTCAGAGACCTGGTGGTGCACTAATATATATATAATATATATATATATATATATATATATATATATATATAATTTCATGCTACGCTTTTTCTTACCGATGGTGCCGAATTGAGTCTAATACACCGAGTCGAAAAAACAAAAGCAAACAACGTGCATGCACGAAATGAAAAAATAATAATGTATATATTTTTTCATAAGAAAAAAAAAAAAAAGAAATTATTTATATATATATATATATATATATATATATATATATATATATATATATATATATATATTTTTTGTGGCTTTAAAGAGGATGTATTTAAATAAATTGACAAAAAAAAAATGATGTAATATCATAGAAAAAGAAAAAGTAAATAGTTTGAGAAGGAAATAATTATGCTACGAATTTATATGAATAAAAGAAAAATTCTTTCGATTTCTTCGATGAGGTATTGTAGCTATTAATTAGTGTATAATTGCATCGTTCAGAATGTTGTCTTCAGATTTATTACTATATTCACGACGTTTCGCTTGTTGTACCTCCGGCCTTCTTCAGGTGATATACGTGAAATCGAAAAATACTTACATACATACATACATATATATATATATATATATATATATATATAAACTGAAGAATATATATATATATATATATATATATATATATATATATATATATATATATATATATATTCAAGTAGGTTTGTTACATAATTTAGGCGTATTATTTCTATTTATTTTAGTTTTCAATCCTTTCAAGTCCACAAATTAATTTCTTGGTGGCTGTAGAAAATTAATCAAGAAAAATACCAAAAATTTCTTTCAAATAATTTACTTGAGATAAACTCGAGATAACAGAGGAAAAATGTAGAAGCTCTTTTTTACATTGAAATTATAATTTTCCTTTACCCCGTCTGGAATATATGTCTGAACACAGCTCATAAAGCTTTGTTTACTGGAAACGTAGAGGCCGATTTAATTTAATTCTAAATATATCATTTAAAATTCATATGCTTAAAAAAAAAGAAAAAAAAGAAACAAGTTACTATAAAGCGACTAGAAAACCGCGAAAACCACGTGTGAATTTAAATTTTCCTTTGCTATTCATGAGCCACTTTGAAATTGCTGCTCTTCTGGACACATAAAGAAAAATTAAAAAAAAAAAACTAATATAGAAATTCTGTTCTAGGAAAGATACTGTACTACAGGCATTCAAATGTTTTTCTTGAATATGAAAAGGCTACACTTCATATAAAAATTCTAAAACCTCTCAGTTGCACTCATACAAACATTAGAAGAGAAAAGATTAGTTGTCCTTAGTGATAGGCCCTACAGTGGCAGGTCTACTGCTAGTATGAATAAGGATAAAACCAAATAAAGTGATGTTCTCATTATGGCTGAAAGAAGAAGCATGATTGCGAAACTCTTGGAAAGTCTTCCGGTGAGTCATGGTATGTTAGTCAATATATGGTCTGCATGTGAGACATGGCTGTGCGTTAAAGATCTGTATAAAGCGGGTTTATAGGGAGTAAACCCTATTTCTAATAATATCTGCTTCTTAAAACAAACAATTAATGCAGGTATTAACAAAAAGAATATTACATTAATGTTTACATTGTTAAAGGAACAGTAACAGGCCTTAAAAAGTTACCAATTAAGAATGCGCTTGTTTGTGCATGTGATACGATCATGTGTCAATCAACCGGGGAAATAAACGTGCCCCAGCGGGGACGTCCTCATCTAAGTCCCCCTACACCTTTGAGCAAGAAGAAAAAGAGAAAGAGGATTTTTTTTTTTTTATGGAACACTGGCGTTCGGCGAAGATAACTGGGGTAACACTTCGTTCTTCTTAGATCTGTTCAGGATTTTACGCTCGTTCTTCTTAGATCTGTTCAGGATTTTACGCTTGTTCTTCTTAAATCTGTTCAGGATTTTACGCTCGTTCTTTTTAGATCTGTTCAGGATTTTACGCTCGTTCTTCTTAGATCTGTTCAGGATTTTACGCTCGTTCTTATTAGATCTGTTCAGGATTTTACACTCGTTCTTCTGAGATTCCGGATTTTACGCTCTTCTTAGATCTGTTCAGGATTTTCGCTCGTTCTTCTTAGATCTGTTCAGGATTTTTTACGCTCGTTCATCTTAGATCTGTTCAGGATTTTCCGCTCGTTCTTCTTAGATCTGTTCAGGATTTTACGCTCGTTCTTCTTAGATCTGTTCAGGATTTTACGCTCGTTCTTTTTAGATCTGTTCAGGATTTTACACTCGTTCTTCTTAGATCTGTTCAGAATTTTACGCTCGTTCTTCTTAAATCTGTTCAGGATTTTACGCTCGTTCTTATTAGATCTGTTCAGGATTTTCCGCTCGCTCTTCTTAGATCTGTTCAGGATTTTCAGCTCGTTCATCTTAGATCTGTTCAGGATTTTCCGCTCGTTCTTTTTAGATCTGTTCAGGATTTTACGCTCGTTCTTTTAGATCTGTTCAGGATTTTACGCTCGTTCTTCTTAGATCTGTTCAGGATTTTACGCTCGTTCTTTTTAGATCTGTTCTGGATTTTACGCTCGTTCTTATTAGATCTGTTCAGGATTTTCCGCTCGTTCTTTTAGATCTGTTCAGGATTTTACGCTCGTTCTTTTTAGATCTGTTCAGGATTTTACGCTCGTTCTTTTAGATCTGTTCAGGATTTTACGCTCGTTCTTTTTTAGATCTGTTCAGGATTTTACGCTCGTTCTTTTAGATTTGTTCAGGATTTTACGCTCGTTCTTTTTAGATCTGTTCAGGATTTTACGCTGGTTCTTCTTAGATCTGTTCAGGATTTTCCGCTCGTTCTTCTTAGATCTGTTCAGGATTTTCCGCTCGTTCTTTTTAGATCTGTTCTGGATTTTACGCTCGTTCTTCTTAGATCTGTTCAAGATTTTACGCTCGTTCTTTTTAGATCTTTCTGGATTTTTCGTTCATCTTAGATCTGTTTTTTACGCTCGTTCTTCTTAGATCTGTTCAGGATTTTACGCTCGTTCTTATTAGATCTGTTCAGGATTTTCCGCTCGTTCTTTTTAGATCTGTTCAGGATTTTTACGCTCCGTTCTTTTTAGATCTGTTCAGGATTTTTCCGCTGTTCAGGATTTACGCCGTTCTTTTTAGATCTGTTCAGGATTTTACGCTCGTTCTTTTTAGATCTGTTCAGGATTTTACGCTCGTTCTTTTAGATCTGTTCAGGATTTTACGCTCGTTCTTCTTAGATCTGTTCAGGATTTTACGCTCGTTCTTTTTTTAGATCTGTTCTGGATTTTACGCTCGTTCATCTTAGATCTGTTCAGGATTTACGCTCGTTCTTTTTAGATCTGTTCAGGATTTTACGCTCGTTCTTCTTAGATCTGTTCAGGATTTTACGCTCGTTCTTTTTAGATCTGTTCAGGATTTTACGCTCGTTCATCTTTCAGATTTTCCTGTTCAGGATTTACAGGATTTTCCGCTCGTTCATCTTTCAGATCTGTTCAGGATTTTCCGCTCGTTCTTTTTAGATCTGTTCAGGATTTTACGCTCGTTCTTCTTAGATCTGTTCAGGATTTTCCGCTCGTTCTTCTTAGATCTGTTCAGGATTTTACGCTCGTTCTTCTTAGATCTGTTCAGGATTTTACGCTCGTTCTTCTTAGATCTGTTCAGGATTTTACGCTCGTTCTTTTTAGATCTGTTCAGGATTTTACGCTCGTTCTTCTTAGATCTGTTCAGGATTTTACGATCGTTCATCTTAGATCTGTTCAGGATTTTACGCTCCTTCTTCTTAGATCTGTTCAGGATTTTACGCTCGTTCATCTTAGATCTGTTCAGGATTTTACGCTCGTTCTTTTTAGATCTGTTCAGGATTTTACGCTCGTTCTTCTTAGATCTGTTCAGGATTTTACGCTCGTTCTTTTTAGATCTGTTCAGGATTTTACGCTCGTTCTTCTTAGATCTGTTCAGGATTTTACGCTCGTTCTTTTTAGATCTGTTCTGGATTTTACGCTCGTTCATCTTAGATCTGTTCAGGATTTTACGCTCGTTCTTTTTAGATCTGTTCAGGATTTTACGCTCGTTCTTATTGGATCTGTTCAGGATTTTACGCTCGTTCTTATTAGATCTGTTCAGGATTTTACGCTCGTTCTTCTTAGATCTGTTCAGGATTTTACGCTCGCTCTTCTTAGATCTGTTCAGGATTTTACGCTCGTTCTTTTTAGATCTGTTCAGGATTTTACGCTCGTTCTTTTTAGATCTGTTCAAGATTTTACGCTCGTTTTTTTTTTTAGATCTGTTCAGGATTTTACGCCTGTTCTTCTTAGATCTATTCACACACTTTAAGCAATCTTTGAAGTTCAGAAGACAAATTTGATAAATATATTTAATTTTATGAAAAAGATGATTGTCAAGTTCATGTTATGAGATTGATTCTGATTGAAAGTTCCAAGACAGTAGCTTTTTGTCAGAAACTAGAAAAATATTTACACTCGATGTCTCATCGTTTGTATATTTCAGTTCAGTTCAGTGCCATCCCTGATAAACGCTTGACGATCATGTCTCTTTCGATTCATGACTGACTGGAAAAAAGATTTTCCCGCAGTAGGTTGCCGTTTCTTTCTGCGATAGATTCGTTGCCACTCAAGGCTATAGGACCCGATCTGTCAACCCACAACTGGGGGAGAGAGGAGGAAGAATTCTACCTTTCCCAAGGTGGTTTTCATTGGTTTTGTTTAGCGACATATCATCTTCTATGGGTTATTTAATGCAGAAATCTAAATATTTTGAACGCAGTTGTATGCCTTCAATTACAGATAAAATATATTGTTGGTCATTTTACTATAAAATGTATTGTTGGTTATTTTTGTTTTAAAAGCTTATTGTTGGTAATGTTACTATAAATAGGTATTGTTGGTATTTTTTTATATAAAATGTATTTTTATACTGTCCTAATGTTTTTGTTTGTGGGTCCACTATTTGCACATAGCTGTGACTCTAACAGTTGCTACCACCCTGGTTCATGGTGTGCTGAGAACGACAGCAATTAAGCAATGTTCCTACGCACTTCAAAACCTTCAATCTCTCAATCAGAAGCCTTGCCTCAGTTTATTGTCATACCCAGGACTAACCTTTTCTCAATGGCACTTGTATATAAATGAATGTAACGAACCCGACTAGAAATTCGAACTCTCCAATTTCTCATTCCGACTTTTTATCCATTACACCATCATGTCCATTTCTATGTTTAGTGCATGAAAATTGAGCTATATTTCTAATTAAAAGACAAAACTCAAACGTAAATGAAACACGTTAATAATTTAGCATCTGAAATCACCAATTTCAAGCGTTGCTTAGATAATTCCTCTTTAAGCGAATTCTGCTTAATTTCAGAATCGCTACATGGGTATATTGAATGTTATTTCCCGTCGAATAATTTCTTTATGTCTAAATGTGCAGCAGGCGGTCCCGAATATCAACCCTGAAAGTGGAAACGTCGATCTAACTTCAAATTCGGGATTGTATTTTGCATTCACTTTCGCACTCATGCCCTTGGGTAAAAGCGTGAATCTACTTGTCATCCCCCCACCCCTAGCTATGCGTTAAATAGCAGAGCATACTCTCTAACTTAGGTGTCAAACAACCTATGAGAAAGATAATTCTAAATATCCATCTGCGGAGAAAGCGATGGGAAACCATTATTCTTCCCAAGAGTTCATACATAATAAAAGAAAGAAATCTGCGGAGATACGATCGCATGTCTTGAAAGGGTACGGCATTAAACATTGATATTTGTATTGTTTCAATTTGGCAATATAATTTCCTCCATACGTGTTCTTGAGTTTTGCACTCATGGTAGCTACCTGCTACTTAAAAAAATAAAAAAAATGAAGTTTTGATTACGCTCGATGCGTTCGAAATAAGGCACCTCACATTATTTAGAAAAAAAATATTATTGTTAAATTTAAAGATACTAACACGAATTCGATTTTATGATTGTTGTGGATTCCGTGAATGGAATCCTGCACAAATAAATAAACAACGCCAGTAATAGAGATAGAAAAATAAGTGTATTAAACGTAAGAATACAGACTTGAAGTGAAGATTAGTAGTCCAGGAATGCGGGTTAGTAGAAAGTATATGTACATATAGTATCTGTAAGTAAAGCCGTAATCATTTCTCTCTGGACTTTTGTATAACTCTCTGAGAACACCCTGTGTCTGTCTCCGTATCTCTCAACCTGTCTCAACGTATCTCACCGTATTTCTACGTATCTCCACGTATCTCAACAGCAGGTATTTTTGCTGTCAGTATAAGTATACTTTGGACGAGTACATCTTATGTAAAAAGGGGCGAGCCCCACAACAATGATTTACTAGCAATACTTTTTGCAGATGGTCTTACGGAAATTATGCAAATCTCGCATTTGGGAGCGAAGCAAAATATCCTGAGATGGTAAAGAGTGTATTAATTTCCCAGCACTGAAATGTAACTTCCTGGTGTCTTTTCTATCATGGACTGAGCATGTGAGCAACGATGAGCTCTTAGAGATATCTTATAAACAAGGGGAAATCTTATACTTAAAATCAGAGAGAGGTAGCTGAAGTTTCTGGGACTCATAATGAGGAAGGAGGACCTGGAGAATCTAATCGGCCTTGTGCCACATCTAAGCCTTGCTTAGAAAATCACTAGGGCACCTCGAGGCGGTGTAATGGTTAGCAAGCTTGTCTCGCTAGAACAATTACGAATGAGTAGTGAGTTCAATCCTCACTGGGTGCCCTGTACATTCGTCCTTGTGCCACATCTAAGCTACGCTTGGAAAATCACTACTCACGGCTCGAATAGAGGAAAAGAGAGACAATGGTAAAGCAGCACGTGACATACCTGACGAGCTTGAACAGGTGGATGACAGAACGTGTTTTGGAGGAGGAAGCAGAGAGAAGGAGCTTGCTGGGAGCTGCAAAGGATAGAGGGAGATGGAGAGCCATGATCACTTATGTCCTGAAATAACATGGCACATAAAAAGAAAAGAATTGTTCTGATGAACTTGCCTCTATGAGACATAGACTTTATGAGCTTAAGCACTAGATTAGTGACAAGGCCTCATCAATTTACAGTTGAATTGGCTATATGTAACCGTAAGTTCTATGTTAACAGTTTTTTTTGTTCTTCAAGACTATAAATGCATTGTCAATTGTTACCTTCTGTCTTCTTGATTCTTGTTCTTTTGTTTTTTCTCTCTTGTTAATAAGAATAACGTCTTAGTAGCTATATTGCCTTGCTCGGGAGGGAAATGATTAAAAAGAAAATAGCTATGTTCAGAGCATAGACATGTTAGGCGTAAAAGCCAGTTATTGTTGTCCTGGGTTTGAAACTAATTAGGTACCTCTTTATGGTTGCATTGTGGAAGGCACAGCTAATTATTTCTGTAATCTATCATCTACCGGACATTTTTTTTTATAGTGAAGTTCATGCTCAACAAAATGGCAAGGCTGTATGAGCTACGCTATATGGAAGGGAGAGAAGATGACAGAAATAAAGATTTGGGGATAAGAAGAAAAATTTGACAATTGACACTTGACTTGAGGTCAAGTTTGAAGCGTTCTGGGAAACATCCACGATGGAGTTTGTTCCACAATGTCAACGTTCTTTTCAAAATACTCTTAGAGAAGAGCTTTTTTTTATTCTAAACACGGAATAAATTACAATGATTTGACTACTTTGAATTGCCAAGGCCTAAATTCGAAGGTCCAAACTGGTAGTAATAAAAAATTAAGCTTATCTCGTCCTATGTGAGTAACGATAGAATTTATTTATTACTGTATATTTATACAATAACTGTGGCTTGAGTAGCGATAGAATCGTAAAAAGCTTTCAACATCTTGTCTGTGAGAAATAGTTTGCAGAGTGGAAAACAGGTCAAAATCTTTGGAGTGTATTTCTCACAATCCTTTCGTCAATGATGTGAGTTAGATTTCTGGCTGTCTTAGGCCAACAAAATATGCAGGTATCTTTCAACGGATCGGCGTTCTCGTTCATTGTTTTTGTAATGATAGAAAACTTGAATCATGTCAAGAAATGTTCAGGTAGATATATAGAAAGCTTTATTCGAAATCCGGGAAAATTTTCCTTGCAGATATAAGTATGCATATTTTTAAGGGTTTTAATTGTTCGGGAAATATCAACCTGTGAGCTAAATTACAAGTGAATACTTGCCTTAGCAATTAGAATATCAAAAAATATATTCAGGAATATAACTGTGTTCTATCATATGTTTCGTAACCGCGAACATGGATATAAAATAATTCCCTCCATTAAATGTAGTAGATTTTAAATCTATCTATCTATCTATCTATCTATCTATCTATCTATCTATCTATTTCGGTATTTTATATCTCTCTCTCTCTCTCTCTCTCTCTCTCTCTCTCTCTCTCTCTCAGTATTTCTCTTTCTCCTCTATCAATCTATTTTAGTATTTCTCTCTATATCTATCTATCTTAGTATTCCCCCAACTATTTTCACTCCCAGTATGTTTTCTTTCTCTATCTATCTATCTATCTATCTATCTATCTATCTATCTATCTATCTATCTATGTCAATCTGTCTTATCTATTTATCTTTCTATCTCAGTCTTCCTCTATCTATCTCATTATTCTGTCTCCCCCTCTCTCTCTCTCCTTCTCTCTCTCTAACTCAATATTTCTTTTTCCCTTTTTTCTATCTATCTGTCAGTCTGTTCTTATCTATTTCTCTTTCTATCTCAGTCCTCCTCTATCGATCTCAGTATTTCTCTCTACCTCTATCTCTCTAAATCAATATTTTTCTATCTATCTATCTATCTATCTATCTATCTATCTATCTATCTATCTATCTATCTCAGTATTCTCTCCCTCTCTCTAACTCTGTATTTCTTTCTTTCTTTCTTTCTTTCTTTCTTTCTTTCTATCTTTCTTTCTATCTATCTATGTCAATCTGTTCTTACCTATCTACTTATCTATCGCAGTCCTCATCTATATATCTATCTCAGTGTAGCCCAGAGGTCAAAGTACGTCTATTCTATTGACGGCTTCTTCTAGGCGAACACAGGCTCGAATCCCGCCGGAAAATGTGAAATATTTTTCTGACTTTTGAAATAGTCATATCTGCTCAGTTTTTCTCTAATAAGATTTTTTAAGTATTCAGACCGGCAGACGAATTTAAATAAATATACTGTTTAATAAATAAACGGCGCCTCTACTCAAATACGAGTACCCACTAAAATAACGTTTAAGTAAGAAAAAATAATTCATAAATGTATATATTATTTTCTATATATCATATATGTAATTTGTACAATGAGACTCATGCATTTTGCTCGTGCAGCTATAGGTTTTGCCTAAGTGTGCATCTATACATATATAAATGCACAAAACTGTTAGGAAGTAAAATTATATTAAATAAGGTACTTTCGTTGGTTACCAAAGTTGCATAAATAAAAAAAAAGACTGCCTAACCGCACCCAATAAATCAATTGATCAGTCTCTCCATATATATATATATATATATATATATATATATATATATATATATATATATATATAAATATTGGACTCTCACATCGTATTCGACGTATCAGAGTCAGCAATTCAGTTCCTAGGAACCAACAGACCAGACATCAACACATATGTTTATGATTCTAGTGGGGAAGGCTTTGTGCAGAACCAAGGAACCTTTTTGAATGGCTGAATTCAGAGACTTAGTGCACTACGTGCCACAGGGTCCCCAAACGACCCTCTGCAGGTTTTAAATTCAGAGTTGTCATTCTAGATCAGTTGCCATCCAAGGCTACATATATACATATGTCCCGTAAAGTTTTTAGGTTCGTAGGGGCCCCACATGTACTGCATCTTATAGAAGTGGTGCGTCTTGGACAAGATAGCCCGGTGTGTCCTTTCTCCTATACTGGCTGCCAACCGAGCCTATAGAACCCAATCTATCCTGATATTTATCCATTTATCCATAGCTGTGGAAAATAGCAACAAGTCAGTAATACAGCCATGATTATTTTCTGTTTCTTCAAAATGAATAAAGTGGAAAAATAAAAAAAATAAATTCGCGTGTAGTGTATTGACAGTATAGAAACCAATGTACAGAATATAGAGCTGGTATTCGAGTATCTTAATATTGAAAGAAATTGCAAGAATGTGGCATTTAAACATAACCACTACGCCAACAATAATAATAATAGCAGAAGGAATGATTAAATGAATACTGAGTTACGCATTAAGGAAATCCCAGGCAACCTCTCTTTACTGTAGAAATATATTTGAAATCAGAAAGAGATTCCATGTAAACAGAAATTAAAGCAATCGTTACTAATTAAAAAAAAAAGGTAACATGTCTATGTTTAATAGAAGTACACACATAGGTTCGCCTAGCGCCCCACTCTTACCCATTTTTCTGAACAAGGGTAGATGTTTATCCTTTATTTCCGCTTTAGTATTGGATTTCCGGTTCATTCTAATGTCTGCTACAACTCTAGATTTCTAACGTTTCCAGCTAAACTCAGAAATTTTATTTACTATTTGTTTATTTATTTTTCCTTAATAGATAGCTTCGCCTATCGTCCAGTTCACAACACCCGCCAGTATTTTGAACAGGCGTAGAGGTTTACCCATTGTTTTCTTGTTTAGGATTGTATTGTGGGAACCTACCTACAAATAGACTCTTCCATACCTATATAATATGGCTACCAACACTGAGTAAAGGGAGTGACCGAGTGAGAGTCACCGAGTAGTAGACACCAAGTGAGTGAATGAGTGAGTCAGGACACCAGTGAGAG